ACCTCCGAAAAAATACCATGAAATTATGTTTTGTCTTCACACCCCACCCTCTTTCTTTTTTCTTTCCAGAATATATAAATTGTCTCCTGTCTGTCTATCTGTCTATCTGTCTATCTATCTATCTATCTATCTATCTATCTATCTATCTATCTATCTATCTATCTATCTATCTATCTATCTATCTATCTATCTATCTATCTATCTATCTATCTATCTATCTATCTATCTATCTATCTATCTATCTATCTATCTATCTATCTATCGATCGATCGATCGATCGATCGATCGATCGATCGATCGATCGATCGATCGATCGATCTATCTATCTATCTATCTATCTATCTATCTATCTATCTATCTATCTATCTATCTATCTATCTATCTATCTATCTATCTATCTATCTATCTATCTAATCTATCTATCTATCTATCTATCTATCTATCTATCTATCTATCTATCTATCTATCTATCTATCTATCTATCTATCTATCTATCTATCTATCTATCTATCTATCTCTCTCTCTCTCTCTCTCTCTCTCTCTCTCTCTCTCTCTCTCTCTCTATCTATCTATCTATCTATGTCTGTCTGTCTCTCTCTCTCTCTGTCTGTCTGTCTGTCTGTCTGTCTGTCTGTCTGTCTGTCTGTCGGTCTGTATCAGTATGTGTGCTCTATCAGTTCATTTAAAAAATCTACAGCAGAATTCTTTGATCTGTTCATCTGTTTTGAATGTTGAATTAAGAATCGACATTATAGCACTCCGGACTCTCCCATGAGGTCTCCGTCCTCATCTTTAGCAGCAAACGAAGATTTCCTATTCCGGTGGCACCACCTGTTTATAACATTATAGTTCTTACGTCTGCCTATCCATATATTTATAAAAAGTTTGTTCAATCTATCTGTCAGTCTGATTATTTTTAAAAAAAAACGTTCATTAGTATCAACTTATGACTGTCTGCAAACCAGAGTTCATTTTGTCTTGATGTATCTATCTATCTTCTTTCTTCTATCTTTCTACTTCTTTCTATGAGTGCCGTTCACAATACTTTCTGTTACTTGATTAATTCTGTCTTGATAAACGAACGGATATCAATCGATTGACACTTCTAAAGTAGAGTTCTTTATCTGTATACATTTCTAAACGTATACACTTGTGGAGGATTGAAAAAGACAGACGGCGCCAGACAAAACTGGGAAGAAACGCCCCCCCCCCCCCCTTTTTCCGTGCATTTCCCGGTGTCTTCTGACATCCAAAGTTATGCAAGGGCAGGAGACTAGGCAATGTGTCCAACCAGTCTCTGCAGGCGGCTGACGATTGGGTAACCCTCCTTGATGGGACCAGTCAGGCCACAAACTGGGTCAAGCCATAGGGAACAACAGACTTATCACTTTCTCGAACTTCAAACTCGTCTGTGGACTCCTACATACGTCTGCTGGGATATATTCGCAGTTTGTTGGTTGTGAGGATATTTGAACACGTAATATTTGGCACCGAAAAGCGGTAGTTTGCGAGTTTTTACGGTGTTTTCGGATAGGAAGGGTGTGGAAGTCGAACACAACACGGCAGCCGTTGGCGTGCTTCGGCCTGGACGCGCTCTCCCCCTGCCCTCCCGACGGGGTGTATTTTTAGCAACGCGCCCCAGCAACAACCTTCGTGACCTGGCGCTACGGTCGCCGATTGGCTGGCTGCCGCGAGTGTCAAGGGCGTTGCAAGCTGAATCATGACGGTCATGTGACATAAACATTGCCACCTGGATCTCACGTGTGGTGTACCTATTGGGTTATCTTCGGAATAATTCCTGTGTTTCTTCTGAGATTTAGTGTTTTCTTTTCTTTTCTCTGTTCGGGTGCTGGCATAAATGTGAGTAGTGAATTCTGGAGGGATGTGTTTAGAACCAGGACGGGGGCTAGCCGGAGTATTTCGAATGTGAACCGCAGCAGCCAGGCCCGCCAGCGCTGCACTTTTCTTCCATGGAATGCCTGCGTTCGTAAGCGGGCTCCCATTGGATAAATCAGGTAACGATCGCTCTTGATGATTGTTGTTTGAACGTCTTCCCGTTAGCGGGCGGGTTGAGGGGGGTAGCCTAGCTTTCTGGGTTGATTGAGGGGTCTGGCAAGAAAGGTTGTGATTTCTTGACGGTATATGGTGCTAAAAGGTGGACCATTTGGTCAAGAAATTAAAGAGAATGGGAGAGATAGCAAATGGGGGAGGGTGGAGTAGATTGCTGACGGCTGGTGGCCATTGTTTGAGCAGGCGCCTGCGCAGAAATGTGGAAATCCCCTGTCATTGAAAGAAAAAAGGCCGGGCGCTGGCTGGGTCGTCGTCCACGGCACCAGCACCCCCCCCCCCCCCCCCTTAGTTTGTAAACAAGAGCTCAAGGATCGTCTGGTTGAGGCGACCTGAAAATATGTCGGCCGGACACTGTGTATGTTGTAGTACACATTTAACAATTAACCTTAAATATATATAGAAGGCGACAATAAGTCCCTCCCTGCACACGGGCGTCGAGTGTCCTTCCTTAGATAACTGGACATAAGGTTGAACAGGGTTTTCATGGTTGGCTCCTCATTGATTTTCATCTATGAAATGTTTAGTAGTCCTACATACTGCAGTCCTGGAAGAGGAAATTAAAATGGATGTATTCTCCCTTATGTCGTTGTCGGACCACCCCTGATAATCTACAACTCCTTAAACCGGTCAAGTTTATCACAAAAACTTGTCTGTCGGTGTAAATCAGAAAGTGAACAAACACAAGAAGAAGAAGACTGCAGATCTGTAGCAGGGCTCTCTGTCTATATAAACCCAGGGTATTGTTGGTGATCCCTATCTGCTTTCTCCTGATGTTGATGTGTCTTAGCTCGAACAGTTCTGTATTTAATGTCATCGGCTCATTAGGGGCAGTCCGTGTCTTGTGTTGTTGCTTAAAGTGTGGACAAGACACCCTAGGAGGTGATTATGCTGTATGTATACACGCTGTATGTTGTTATAAATCTCCATAATAAAGACTGCCTGCAATAAACTGAGCCTCCAACTGAAATGTTTTACTGCTGGCCTAGTTTAATAATGTGCTGAAGTAGTGTTAATTTATCTCTTGGTTTCATAATCTTGCTAGTGATAGTAGACTGAACAGAAGCCAGTACACCAGTTTTAAAACGAAACAGAGGACACTTAGTGCACACATGCACAGAATGAAGGATGCACTATCCACCCAGTGTCCCTGCCAGACCGAACACCGGAATTGACCATATAGGAGAACTGTCCCCTACAGCAGGGCTCGCTAAATTTACCCAGAGGCCAAACTATTGTTAGTGGGGATCAACACCGGCCAAAAGCCCCAGCTCCATTGTTGAAGGATCATCAATACAATACAGTCGGCAGTGATATGTAGGGCAGGGCTGCCAATGGGATAGCTTAGCTGATCAAAAACCCAAGCAATACATAGACAAAGAACAAAAAAACCAAAATAAAAGACCCAGATTGTTAAAATGTTCAAAATCTATAGTTACAAAACAAAATATTAACTACTTTTATATAAGGATATATTTTAAAAAAAAAAGATTTCCCCAAGGCGTCAAATAAAAACCCAGATCTGGGGGAAAAACCTAAGCATTGGGTGCCCTGAAATGTAGGCCACTTGTTAGGCCTGTGGGGGCCAGATTCAGCCCACAGGTCACAAGTTGAATAGCCCCGCCTGCAGTGAAATGTGCAAATAAATAAACACATGGTCAGTGCAAGGACACATCCTGGACAAACTTTGGGGAACTGTTTGAGACTGGCTGCTGAATTTCTGGTCCATGCAGGTAACACACATCTGATAACCTGAGCATATGCAGATTGCAAAGAAGAAGATACTGTGTTGAACTACTACTCATTTATCTCTTGGTTTTTTCATCATACTTGTGAAAGGATGGAGGAGACTGAGTGAGAGAAATACAGAGGGAAGAGAGAAAAGTGAATGAAGAAATATAAAATATAGATAAGTAAGATTCATAAAGACTCAAAAAGATGGATGGGGAAAGTAACGCTGTCTGTCTCTTGCTTGCCTGCATTCAAATTTGCCTGCAATTTTTTTTTTTTTTTTAAGTTAGAGGGTTACATTTTGTTTGGTGTTAAGCCAGGTGTTGTCTCCACGATAGTGCAAGAGACTGCTGTCAATCCCTTCTTCTTCTGCCTTCTAACCCCTAATGGAGCATAGGCCCTCAGCCAACTCATGCCAAATTGTTGATCATCACTTGCTATCCTCAAACTTGTATTGTGTAATTTATAAAAGTTATCATGATCAACCCTCACCAGAATTAGACTGCAGTAACTTCATAACTGAAGGAAACTAACTGCCATACAGTTAAAGCAAATTGATCTTTATATCTTCTTCTACGATCCTTCTGTCAGAAAATTTATGTCAGGAGGCCAGTAGCCTTTATGAAAGCTATCTTGCAGTCCATATCCTCTCATGTACCATACAGTTTTGTCTTCATTGAGTTGCAACAGGCCAAATGTGTCTCTGTTGACAGCATACAGTTGACAGTGTTGGAGCACATGCTTAGCATTTTCGGGTCGCACACTGCAGGGGCAAGTCTCCATGTTTCGTACACCAACAAATTTGAACATATGTTGATGAAGTCTATTGTACCCTGCCCTTAGTTTGAATTTAATATACACTGTCCCTCTAGAGAGGCGATGAAGCGAGTCTTGAGGATAGAATCTGGTGCATGTATCCAGCCACCTTTCTTGGAATCTAGATTGTATTAATGTTTTTGTCTCTTGGTGGGTTGAGTCATGTAAGTCACTATTTGGTTGTACCATGTTACTGCCTCTTTTGGCCAGTCTATCCACTATTTCATTGGATCTTTATATGATAATAACTATGCAATTTATCCTTTTTTTTTTAAATTTTAATCTGATAGTAATTTGTTTTAAAAATCATATTGTGGGCCATACATTTTTTACCTGCCACTTTATCTTGTAAAATTAAACTGTCATCTGATTTTTATCTTTAACAGGTCATCTTGACCGTGCCAGCTATGCAGTTGGCTCGCCTGCTTCCTCATGTCTGGTAGTTGCAGGGGCACTTGGGGGTGGCACTGAGATGTCCGACCCCCACCCACAGCCGCTCCACCTCCAGCACAACCTACATCACATTCAACATCAGAAGCTGGTAGATGTGGCAGCCATGCAGACCAAGATGCCGAATACGTTCAGGGACTCATCCACGGCTCCCCTAAGGAAATTGAGTGTGGATTTAATCAAAACTTACAAGCACATCAATGAGGTGAGTAGGAGGGAGTAATCATTCTTCTCTGGTTCCCTTTTTGGGGCGGTGTAAGAAAGCGACCCACTTCTTCTTGACAAGTTGTAGAAGGCCATTAATTAACCCTTTCACCTTACAAATGCTAACAACAAAAAGGTCATGAACCCGTAGGAAAACTCACAAAAATAATTTTTAAAAAAATTTTGTACAGGTTATAAATTTTTTTAAAATGTGTCTACATTTTATATTTTTTTCCCCTACAAAAAAATTTAAAATATATAAAATGGGTAACATGAACAGAGTGAAGTATTTAGTGGAAAACATTTCCCGAGACCTAAAATTAAAAACAGTATATATTGGGTGACTGTGACCTGTATCACTGAGGCCTACAGGAAATGTTGACATCAAATTAGCTTTAAAAGAGCAATTGGAGTGCTATTTCTCTAAGTTATATTGATATCCTGGCATTTTCAGCACTGCAGGGATGCTTATTAGTACCAGTGGCATTAAACTGTACTTTTAGAGACCAGATTACTGTAGGAATGGTCATAGGTCGAATTTTAAAAAGATGTTTCTATCCATCTATCTGTCTTGGGTCATCTTTCTTGTCTGTTTCTGTTTCCCCATTCTCTTCTCCCTCTTTCCTGAGTCTTTCTTTCTCTCTTACCTCCTCTCACTCTCCCTGCCTCTCTAATATTATTAACATAATAGGTTTGTATGCTTCTCTTTGTGGCAGGTTTATTATGCGAAGAAAAAACGCCGAGCGGTGGGCACAACTCAAGGGGATGAGACCGGCAACAAGAAAGGCAAGGTGAACGCCCACATCTATAATGATGGTTATGATGACTCGAACCATGACTACATCGTCAATCCAGGAGAGAAGTGGATGGATCGCTATGAAATTGATTCCCTCATTGGAAAAGGATCCTTTGGACAGGTTTGTTTGCTTTTGCAATTTGGAATTCCCTGTGGGTTCTGGGTCCTTTTTTTTTTTTTAAGGCGGAAGGGTACCATTTCCACTGCAGCTCAAAAAGTATGTTATAAACAGTTGGACATATATATATTGATTAACGTTCATAGAAAGAATTAGGGAGATAGGAATACAAAGTAGAGAACATAGACATTGAAAGCTACCGTAAACTTTCAATTTTGTTCTCATGTATCTTTCTGTCTCTGTACACTAAATGACACTAGACACTAAGTTGACCATTTTGGTTCCAGCAGGGATTTATTTTCATAACTTGTCTCTTAGTCCCTTGTTAGCGTGAATATTTTGAATCCACACTTTTGATTTTATGATCGCTTGGAATTTATTGTTAATGTTTTACTGTATATACTGTTTTTGTGAGTCGAGGTCCCCCACTTTTGATTTCTGCCACCCACCCCCCCCACCCCCCTTACCTTTAACAAGCATGTCGTAAACAGTGACTGATGAAGAATTTGTTGAGATTGTATATGTTGGGAAGAAAGGTGCATCTGTTGCAGCCTAGCTGTAAACCACAGTAGAGCATACCAACCACCCCAAAGAGGGCAAACAAAGACAACAGTGGAATGTAATTTTTCAGTCTTAAATACTTCCAGTGTGAGCAAATACTTCCAGTGTGGGTTCTGGGGTCATGTTTTAGCGGGGAAAGGAACAGACCCACTTCCCCCTTCCTCCAAGTATGTAGATAAGCCAGTTGTCAGGGTGCTTGTAATATATGGCCCTGGCACAGTTTTAAAGTTGCTTGTAATATAAGCACAGTTTTCAGTGTGCCTATAATATAAGCCCAACCCCCAGAAATAAGCCTTAGGCAAGATTATCAGCTAGAATGAGAGACGGGGTAGTGGTTGCACAGGAAGTAGAGTCGCAAGAAATTCAGGATTTGGAGAGTTACGTTGTTTCAGAGGAAGGTGACGCGACTATTTCATTCAATGCAAAATTGTGTGCCTGAATAAATATAGATTGTTGTATCAGAAACAAAATTTCAGACATCCCCAAAAATAAGCCTTTGTGCATTAAAAAGAAACAAAATTAATATTAAGACCCGGTCTTATTTTTGGAGACACACAGTAGGTAATATTGAAGTAAGGACACTTTTACATGCCTTCAGGCATCACGCTGGCCACTTTTACTTCCCAGGACTTTACTTGATGCCCACTCAAGGCTAGGTCAACCTGGAAGCCAAGATAATTTTTGAAGGAAAAAAATCCGGTCTTTTCAGATTCTTACCTTCAGATCCGCAGGCGAGTGTCTAGCCGCTACACCACTGCGTCTCCTCTAAACACTGTAGGAGTTGGAATTTTATTATCTTTTTCAGGGAAAGTATCACACCTTTGACTAAACCTGACTGTCCCCAGTACTGAAAGAGTTGAGAACATCGTGTGTTTTGTTTAAGTGTTGTGTTTATTTGTGTATTCCCAGTACTGAAAGAGTTAAGAACATCATGTGTTTTGTTTAAGTGTTTATTTGTGTATTCCCAGTACTGAAAGAGTTGTGAACATCTTGTGTTTTGTTTAAGTGTTGTATGTTTATTTTTGTGTTGCCAGCACTGAAAGAGTTGTGAACATCTTGTGTTTTGTTTAAGTGTTGTATGTTTATTTGTGTGTTGCCAGTACTGAAAGAGTTGTGAACATCTTGTGTTTTATTCAAGTGTTGTATGTTTATTTGTGTGTTGCCATTACTGAAAGAGTTGTGAACATCTTGTGTTTGTTTGTTCAAGTGTTGTGTTTATTTGTGTATTCCCAGTACTGAAAGAGTTGCGAACATCTTGTGTTTTGTTTAAGTGTTGTATGTTTATTTTTGTGTTGCCAGTACTGAAAGAGTTGTGAACATCTTGTGTTTTGTTTAAGTGTTGTATGTTTATTTTTGTGTTGCCAGCACTGAAAGAGTTGTGAACATCTTGTGTTTTGTTTAAGTGTTGTATGTTTATTTGTGTGTTGCCAGTACTGAAAGAGCTGTGAACATCTTGTGTTTTATTCAAGTGTTGTATGTTTATTTGTGTGTTGCCATTACTGAAAGAGTTGTGAACATCTTGTGTTTGTTTGTTCAAGTGTTGTATGTTTATTTGTGTGTTGCCAGTACTGAAAGAGTTGAGAACATCTTGTGTTTTGTTTAAGTGTTGTATGTTTATTTGTGTGTTGCCATTACTGAAAGAGTTGTGAACATCTTGTGTTTTGTTTAAGTGTTGTATGTTTATTTGTGTGTTGCCAGTACTGAAAAAATTGAGAACATCATGTGAACATCTTGTGGTTTTTTTTTTTAAAGAGTTATATGTTTATTTGTGTGTTCCCAGGTTGTGAAAGCATTTGACCATGTGGATCAGGAGCAAGTGGCGATCAAGATCATCAAAAACAAGAAGCCCTTTCTGAACCAGGCTCAGATCGAAGTCAAACTCCTGGAGCTGATGAATTCCAATGATAGAGAGAACAAATACTATATAGGTAATTGTTGGATCGACCCCGTGTGGGTTCCGGGACCCCATTGTGGGGAAAACAAGAATAGACCCACTGCCTCCCCAAAAGCATGTCGTAAGAGTCGACTAATTGGGGAGCTTCCTTTGAAGTCGGAGTGCATCTGCCGGAGAGGCAAGGAACCAACAGTCTGTATTCAAGAGAATGAGATCTGTAAAACTGATGCACACGCAACACTCAGGTTCTGGAGCAGGACTGCAGTTCAGTAGTGGACGAGCAACCAGAACCTTCCGCCAGAGTTTACAGCTGGTGAACGCGAAGAAGAAGAAGAAGAATTGTTGGATCATCTTTTTCATTGCCATAACCATTAAGTACTGATTGATTTACTGGCTGGATCATGTGTATACCAGTCTGCTGCCTAAAGTTTGAACTGCAATTTGGATCAATATCAGTCCAGTAGATCAACACCAGATACCTCGTTCAGCCTACTGAGAAGTTAATATTAAGACACTTATGGCGTGCTTTTGTTTATAACTGCCTTGAGTAAGGTCAAATCAGTTCTTCATTCATTCAGTCATATGTTTTTAATTAAGAATAATGATTTGCGAATCAGCATCCAAATCTACCCATAGATGCTGACCTTTACAGCACCACACTGGTTGTAGACATTTCATATTCCTCTCATAAAAATCCTTAATCGTCAGATCCACACTTCATTCCAAATTCACATACTTTCTATTGTTGTTTCATCTTCTTCTTCTTATTCGCACTCACTGGCTGTAAACTCTGGTGGAAAGATCTGGTTGTTTGTCCACCTCTGGACTTGTCTCATTCCAGAACCTGAATGTTGTGTGTGTGCACATCCATTTAACAGATCTGACTTAATTGTATGCAGATTGTTGGTTATTTGCCTCTCAGGCAGATGCACTCCAACTTCGAATGAAGCCCCCAGTTAGTCAACTCCTACGGCATGATTGTTGGAGAGGCAGAGGCTTTATTGTTGTTTTCCCTACATTGGGGCCCTGGAACCGACACTGTTGGAGAGGCTTTATTGTTGTTTTCCCTACATTGGGGCCCTGGAACCGACACTGTTGGAGAGGCTTTATTGTTGTTTTCCCTACATTGGGGCCCTGGAACCGACACTGTTGGAGAGGCAATGGCTTTATTGTTGTTTTCCCTACATTGGGGCCCTGGAACCGACACTGTTGGAGAGGCTTTATTGTTGTTTTCCCTACATTGGGGCCCTGGAACCGACACTGTTGGAGAGGCTTTATTGTTGTTTTCCCTACATTGGGGCCCTAGAACCGACACTGTTGGAGAGGCTTTATTGTTGTTTTCCCTACATTGGGGCCCTGGAACCGACACTGTTGGAGAGGCAATGGCTTTATTGTTGTTTTCCCTACATTAGGGCCCTGGAACCGACACTGTTGGAGAGGCAATGGCTTTATTGTTGTTTTCCCTACATTGGGGCCCTGGAACCGACACTGTTGGAGAGGCTTTATTGTTGTTTTCCCTACATTGGGGTCCTAGAACCGACACTGTTGGAGAGGCAGTGGCTTTATTGTTGTTTTCCCTACATTGGGGCCCTGGAACCGACACTGTTGGAGAGGCTTTATTGTTGTTTTCCCTACATTGGGGTCCTAGAACCGACACTGTTGGAGAGGCAGTGGCTTTATTGTTGTTTTCCCTACATTGGGGCCCTAGAACCGACACTGTTGGAGAGGCAGTGGCTTTATTGTTGTTTTCCCTACATTGGGGCCTTGGAACCTACACGGGAGTACACGGGAGGATGTTTCATCTGATGTCACATCTTCCACCAGCATTGTTCACAAATGGTCTTTATCATGTCTGCCTTGTCCAGCATAAATATTTCTATTGCTGTCACTTTGGTAGCGAAAATTTATGATCGTTCGTTATCTAGATCTCAAACATATCCTGGAAATTAAATGTACATGAGTCCCGGTAATGTTGACATACTGTTGCATGCTATCCACTTATTTATGCTGCCGTGCACTTCCATTTATGTAAGAATGACCATTACATGTTCATAATGTTCATGGGCCATAAACTCTGGTGGATAGTTCTGGTTGTTCATGGGCCATAAACTCTGGTGGATAGTTCTGGTTGTTCATACACTTCTGGACTTGTCTTGTTCCAGAACTTGTTTTGCATGCACATTTTACAGATCTAGCTTATTTATATGCAGACTGTTGGTTCCTCACCTCTCAGGCATATGCATGATCCTACTTAATTGATTGTTACGACATGCCTGTTAGAGGACAGTAGATCTGGTCTCTTTTCTCCCCCCCCCCCCCCCTTCCCTCAATGGATCCTGGAACCCACATGGGGGCTATTGAATATTGATAGAAAACTATTGTATGCTTAAAACAAACTGTGTTCATTTACTATCATCACATTCTTCCATTTCTCCAGTCCGCCTGAAGAGGAACTTCATGTTTCGTAACCACTTGTGCCTTGTGTTTGAGCTGTTGTCATATAATCTGTATGACCTTCTGCGGAACACTAATTTTCGAGGGGTCTCCCTTAACTTGACCAGGAAGTTTGCGCAGCAGCTGTGTACAGCATTGCTGTTCCTGGCAACGCCAGAACTGAACATTATTCATTGTGATTTAAAGCCAGAGAATATACTATTGTGCAATCCAAAGCGAAGTGCCATCAAGATTGTTGACTTTGGGAGCTCTTGCCAGATAGGACAGAGGGTAAGTGTCCTTGTGTTTACATTATCAGATAGATACAGTACTTGAGCCACTGAATATAATCATAAACGTTTGTTTGACATATTTGAAATAAGTCATAATTATGATCTATTCTACTAGAGGTAACCAAAATAGTCACTAAATATTTTAAATGTTACATTTTTTATTAAAAGACCAATCAAATACAGAGGTTTTGTAGAGACTTTGAATAAAAAATAGTTACTGGAAAAAAAAGAAGAAAGAGAGAAGAAGTGAATATTAGCCATACTAGAAAACATAACTTTTATATCAAAACTTTAGTAAATGAAAAAGTTTAAGGTAAGTTGAACAAGAGGCAGACATCGATACAGATGAGAAGATAACATCAAGAGATGGACAGACAACAGTCCGAGAGTGTGTGAATCCCAGCACGAGACAGAGCATGTTGCAGCCACCTTCCTTTAAATAAATGTCCTTTGTTCCTGGATCTTCTTCTGCTTCACTTCCTCCTGTTATTTCATGAAATGCTGCGGAAGTGTAAGGATCTTCTGTATGCAGTTTTCCTAGTGCATTGTAAAAGTTGGTCTTTGTTTTTTTAAGACTGTTCTTGATGACGAGTGTTGGAGGTCCTGGGTTCAGGCTGGGATTTTTCACAGACACTTCTAGTAATTTCACCTGGTCTCTGGGTAGTAAGACTGCATACCCATGTGTATTGTTGCGCACCTAAAACATACCTTAGTAGTTGGAAATTGAGAAAAGAGAAGCCTAACGGCGCAGCCCGAGCACAATTTTGAGTTAAAAATCTACCCAAAATATTTCAGGGTTCTCGTCGGTGCAATGGAGTTCGTGCACTGCACAGATTCTTCAGACTCGGGCTTGAGTTAGAAGTAGAACGGACAACTTATGGGTTACACCCATGGTCCATGATGCTGATCCGTTGTTGAAACATAAACAAACAGCCTTGCCTTGTGAGACCTTTGGATGATAAACCAGATAAAACTAAGGCATTGGGCAGACAACATGTCTCGTATTTATGTTCTTGTGTTTGAAAACATAGATAACAATCCCATATCAGTTGTAGGCTTCCCTTGGGTACTCTGTCATGTTATCAGTGTGTATGTGTGTTGTGATTTAAAAAGAAGAAAAAACAAATGGTTCTGATATCATGGCTGTGTGCCTGTGTGTGTTAGCTGACATGCTACAAGAGGGTACTTCTGTCATATGATTGTGTATGTGTGTGTTAGCTGACATGGTACAAGAGGGTACTTCTGTCATATGATTGCGTATGTGTGTGTTAGCTGACATGGTACAAGAGGGTACTTCTGTCATATGATTGTGTATGTGTGTGTTAGCTGACATGGTACAAGAGGGTACTTCTGTCATATGATTGTGTATGTGTGTGTTAGCTGACATGGTACAAGAGGGTACTTCTGTCATATGATTGTGTATGTGTGTGTTAGCTGACATGGTACAAGAGGGTACTTCTGTCATATGATTGTGTATGTGTGTGTTAGCTGACATGGTACAAGAGGGTACTTCTGTCATATGATTGTGTATGTGTGTGTTAGCTGACATGGTACAAGAGGGTACTTCTGTCATATGATTGTGTATGTGTGTGTTAGCTGACATGGTACAAGAGGGTACTTCTGTCATATGATTGTGTATGTGTGTGTTAGCTGACATGGTACAAGAGGGTACTTCTGTCATATGATTGTGTATGTGTGTGTTAGCTGACATGGTACAAGAGGGTACTTCTGTCATATGATTGCGTATGTGTGTGTTAGCTGACATGGTACAAGAGGGTACTTCTGTCATATGATTGCGTATGTGTGTGTTAGCTGACATGGTACAAGAGGGTACTTCTGTCATATGATTGTGTATGTGTGTGTTAGCTGACATGGTACAAGAGGGTACTTCTGTCATATGATTGCGTATGTGTGTGTTAGCTGACATGGTACAAGAGGGTACTTCTGTCATATGATTGTGTATGTGTTAGCTGACATGGTACAAGAGGGTACTTCTGTCATATGATTGCGTATGTGTGTGTTAGCTGACATGGTACAAGAGGGTACTTCTGTCATATGATTGTGTATGTGTGTGTTAGCTGACATGGTACAAGAGGGTACTTCTGTCATATGATTGTGTATGTGTGTGTTAGCTGACATGGTACAAGAGGGTACTTCTGTCATATGATTGTGTATGTGTGTGTTAGCTGACATGGTACAAGAGGGTACTTCTGTCATATGATTGTGTATGTGTGTGTTAGCTGACATGGTACAAGAGGGTACTTCTGTCATATGATTGTGTATGTGTGTGTTAGCTGACATGGTACAAGAGGGTACTTCTGTCATATGATTGTGTATGTGTGTGTTAGCTGACATGGTACAAGAGGGTACTTCTGTCATATGATTGTGTATGTGTGTGTTAGCTGACATGGTACAAGAGGGTACTTCTGTCATATGATTGTGTATGTGTGTGTTAGCTGACATGGTACAAGAGGGTACTTCTGTCATATGATTGTGTATGTGTGTGTTAGCTGACATGGTACAAGAGGGTACTTCTGTCATATGATTGTGTATGTGTGTGTTAGCTGACATGGTACAAGAGGGTACTTCTGTCATATGATTGTGTATGTGTGTGTTAGCTGACATGGTACAAGAGGGTACTTCTGTCATATGATTGCGTATGTGTGTGTTAGCTGACATGGTACAAGAGGGTACTTCTGTCATATGATTGCGTATGTGTGTGTTAGCTGACATGGTACAAGAGGGTACTTCTGTCATATGATTGTGTATGTGTGTGTGCGCCTGCATGGGTTGTTTAGTGAAACAGGGTGTAATAAAATAACACCTGTACAGACAGATATATATTTTGATAAAATAGAGTTGTCATGTCTAAACTATGTCATTGTGGTGAAACAGTGTTGTCATGTCTAAACTATGTCATTGTGATAAAACAGTGTTGTCATGTCTAAACTATGTCATTGTGATAAAACAGTGTTGTCATGTCTAAACTATGTCATTGTGATAAAACAGTGTTGTCATGTCTAAACTATGTCATTGTGATAAAACAGTGTTGTCATGTCTAAACTATGTCATTGTGATAAAACAGTGTTGTCATGTCTAAACTATGTCATTGTGATAAAACAGTGTTGTCATGTCTAAACTATGTCATTGTGATAAAACAGTGTTGTCATGTCTAAACTATGTCATTGTGATAAAACAGTGTTGTCATGTCTAAACTATGTCATTGTGATAAAACAGTGTTGTCATGTATCCACTATGTCATTGTGGTAAAGCAGGGTTGTCATGTCTCAGCCATGTCATTGTGATAAAACAGTGTTGTCATGTCTCCACTATGTCATTGTGGTGAAACAGTGTTGTCGTGTCTCAGCTGTGTCATTGTGATAAAACAGTGTTGTCATGTCTCCACTATGTCATTGTGGTGAAACAGTGTTGTCATGTCTCAGCTGTGTCATTGTGATAAAACAGTGTTGTCATGTCTCCACTATGTCATTGTGGTGAAACAGTGTTGTCGTGTCTCAGCTGTGTCATTGTGATAAAACAGTGTTGTCATGTCTCCACTATGTCATTGTGGTGAAACAGTGTTGTCATGTCTCCACTATGTCATTGTGGTGAAACAGTGTTGTCATGTCTCAGCCATGTCATTGTGATAAAACAGTGTTGTCATGTCTCCACTATGTCATTGTATTGAAACAGTGTTGTCATGTCTCAGCTGTGTCATTGTGGTAAAGCAGGGTTGTCATGTCTCAGCTGTGTCATTGTGGTAAAGCAGGGTTGTCATGTCTCAGCTGTGTTATTGTGGTAAAACAAGTGTTGTTTTAGTTGTGTTATGTTAGTATGATGTGTATTCTTAAATTTTGACATATTCATGGCATTGTGGTGCTGGGGTGTCTGTGGATTACCTACCTCCCCGGGCAGCAGCTAGAAATGCCCTGTTTCTGCTTTCCCCTTTAACACGTAGCTAAGGTGGGGCTCACAGTGTACTCATTCCCCGCCACCAGATTTCCTGCTGGTTTCGCTGAGTTTAAGGTATTCAGGGGGTTAGCATACTTGTTTCCATTCTTAAGACTGTTCAGCACACCTCCGGCTCCTTCCCTCCCACAGGGGGCAGTACAGTGTGGCGCACCGGGTTTATTATCGAGGTTTGCTCCTCCAGATCCATTGTGTTTTGCCTGGGGATTCGCACCCATAGTTACCAGGACTACCTCGGGGAGGCTGTGACTTTTCGCCACGCACAATGGTCTTGAGGTAAGAGAGGTTTTGCTAGGTCAAGAGGCTGACACCGCAATGGACGCTCCTTTCGTGAACAGATATTCACTAGACCTAGAGTGGAGTAAGGGTGATGGGGGGGGGGGGGGGGGGGAGACCACTACCCACAACACCAACACTTCTTACCCCATGCCTCTCGAGGTTCAGTCCCATGTTAGTATGATACAGAAGTATTCTCATGTCTTGGTTGTGTCATGTTAGTGTGATACAGCAGGGATGTAATGTCTTGGTTATGTTATGTTAGTGTGATACAGCAGGGTTGTCATGTCTTAGTTGTGTTATGTTAGTGTGATATAGCAGGGTTGTCATGTCTTGGTTGTGTCATGTTAGTGTGATACAGCTGATACAGCAGGGTTGTCATGTCTTAGTTGTGTCATGTTAGTGTGATACAACAGAGTTGTCATGTCTTGGTTGTGTTATGTTAGTGTGATACAGCAGGGTTGTCATGTCTTGGTTGTGTTATGTTAGTGTGATGCAGCAGGGTTGTTTTGTCTTGGTTGTGTTATGTTAGTGTGATACAACAGAGTTGTCATGTCTTGGTTGTGTTATGTTAGTGTGATGCAGCAGGGTTGTTATGTAATGTTAGTGTGATGCAGTAGGGTTGTCATGTCTTGGTTGTGTTATGTTAGTGTGATACAGCAGGGTTGTCGTGTCTTGATTGTGTTATGTTAGTGTGATACAGCAGGGTTGTCACGTCTTAGTTGTGTTATGTTAGTGTGATACTGCAGGGTTGTCATGTCTTGGTTGTGTTATGTTAATGTGATATAACAGTGTTGTCATGTCTTGGTTGTGTTCTGTTGGTGTGATATAACAATGTTGTCATGTCTTGGTTGTGTTATGTTAGTGTGATATAACAGTGTTGTCATGTCATGGGTCTACTATCTTATTGTTTCTATTTTTACTCTACTTCACTGTAGCTGTGTTCATACAATGTGTAACAGTAGCTGTCCAGATTGATCAGATTTTGTTTTTAAATTAGCTAGGCTCCCGGCTCAACCCAGCCTTAAATGAGCTAGGCTCCCGGCTCAACCCAGCCTTAAATGAGCTAGGCTCCCGGCTCAACCCAGCCTTAAATGAGCACCAGGAAATGTCCTTAGAAGTAAAAGACAGCCAGCGGGAATTTAACTATATCGCATACTGAGTGCTGATTGGTCTAATGAAATATGTCTAACACTATGTGCAGTATGACTGAGGACGGGCAAAAGGCTGTTTTGTCCACCATTGATATATTCATAAAATACCCACAGTTTTTCCTTTCTCCACCGTAGATATGTTCATAAAATATGTAGTTTTATTACTATGTATGTGTTTATACGTTACATACATTTGTTCCTCTGTTCACCTGTGTTTGTTCAAACAAAACATACACTTGACACATTTTAGTTATTTGTGCACAGATCTACCAGTACATTCAGTCACGGTTTTACCGATCACCCGAAGTGTTGTTAGGCATCCCCTACGACCTGGCAATCGACATGTGGAGCCTAGGCTGTATTCTGGTTGAGATGCACACAGGAGAGCCTTTGTTTGCTGGGTCTAATGAGGTAGGTACATCGGTATGTTTGGTGTTAGTGTTTGGTAACTTTCCCCATTTAGCTTCTGAGGCCTTATGTCTGGACAGGAGGTGAGGGGGAATAACAAGGCTCATGTCTCATAACAAGCAAGTCAAAAAAATGTAACTAATTGTTTGCTGAAATTGGATGCATTGCTCTGAAAGGCACAGATGTCATAGCCTAGCTGTAAGTCACAATATCAACATAGTAACCGACTTTTTAATTCTTTCAGACCCAGACAGCTGTTTTATGAACCAGCTCTCTTTTAGTGATTAACTCATTCTTAACATGAGACACTTGTAGCGGACGCTTAATCTGTCACTGACAAATGTTAAGTTTTTAACTGTCATCCAGATTTATATGGCTCTGAAGTAGTAACGACATGGGGACTGGCGGAGGTTAAAATGAGATTTGGATGTATGGGACAGCCATTGAGTGTGCAGTTGTTCCTGCTGTTAAAATAGTTAAGGGTAAGTGGCAGAGAAGAAGGTAGTTATGTTACAACAATGCTTCACATTCGGCCTTCCACCCATATTCAGTCTTCCAATGCAACAACCCTCCCAACGTAATGTTAGTGGTGGTATCGGTCTGAGGCTGATGGAGTTAGGGGGTTCAGTGATCTACATGTGGTCTACAAATGACACCGCTGTAAAGCACACATACAAGAATGGCACTCCAGTCATTTATCAGTCAGCATGTCCTTTACAGGACGTTGCTGACTTCAAAGTCTCTCTTTTATGTAGCCATTTCTTCAGCCATGTATGTTTTCATAACCAATACATCTTCTTGTATCCACCTTGGCGAAAGTCTGTCTCTTGCCTCGATTTCTATAGACTGCGCCCTTCATCGCCGTTCTCTCCAGGCCATGTGACGCTTAACATGGCCGAAATATCCCACATATTTAAACACATGTGCACCCACCTGTGGATCCATACGTATGCTTTAACACACATCTGCAACCACTCAGTCACAGATACATTTGTTGTTGATCCTGTACAGCTCCTCCCAAATACAGCTCTTCATAAGGTTGATTTATAAGCTCCTGCAGATTCTTCTAGTTTCTGTGCAGATAACTTAGTTTATCTGAAAATCAGAGCCACTTTTTCCCCAGTGTATTCGAACAAAGAGATATAAATAGTAGATTGCACAATTTATTGCCTTCCTTTTTTAAGTGGTTGATTTTGTAATTCGGTTGCAAATGATTCATTTATTTGCTTCATTTTATTTAATTGTTACTGTGGTGTGCACCCGACCAGATGCCTCGAAATATGCTCGGCAATAAGTTGGTGCCTTCTGTTGTTTGTATGTTCTTCTTTCAAATATGAAAGAAGCCTGATCGTGTGTCTTGTTTTTATTTCATGACTAGTTTGATCAAATGATGAAAATTGTTGAAGTTCTGGGTATGCCCCCGAAACACCTCTTGGACCAGGCACAGAAAACACGGAAATATTTTGAATTGCTGCCAGACGGCTCATACATCCCACGCAAGTCTAAAGACAACAAGAAGGTAATGTGTCTGTTTGTCTTTGTTACTGGGGTTATAGGAACCATAAAAGAATGTTTGAAAGGCAAAAGGATTGGCTTCTTCTCATTCTTCAGTGATCACCCTTAAAAATGTAGTTGGCACATCGTGTTGTGGTGTACAACTCGACTGTGATATCTGTGCTTGTTGGCCTAACACATGTGATTTCAGCAAGCCCTTAATAGGTGCCTTATTACATCATGGGGGTGGGGTGTGCCGTCTATTCCTATTTCTCCCAAAAAAGGGGCTGCAGAACGTTCACAGGAAGGATTGGCTTCATTTTGCTAGGTTTTATCCTATAAAACTTCGTCTCTCTCCACAGAGCAGCAGCAAGAGGCAGGAAGCAAAGAGTAGTGCTGCTGCAGTTGCTGAATATGTCCTGAAAGAAACCGTATTTTTTCTGTGTATAAGACAGTATCTTTGTTTACGTTTTTAAAGTTTATAAATGGGGTGGGGGGGGGGGGGGCCTTGTCTTACACACAGTAATGTGTTTAATATTAATTTTTCCAGACTTGAAGGGGTAGGGGGAATAGGGATCGTCTTATACACAGAAGAATATGCAACAATTAGAGTTGGGGTTGGCTTTGTAACCTCATATAATTTTCAACTGTAAAAGTAAGGCAACTGGGGGGGGGGGGGGGGGGAATGGAATGGCTCTCTGCGAGTTGGTGGAGAGTGTGCTGCATTGGGTGGGGGTAAAGGACAGAGGAAAGAAGAAGAAAGAAGCAGAATGTATTAGCAGTTAAAAAAGAACCCGCCAACATAGGAAAATTGTTGCCTTTAACCACAAGATGCCCAAGTTTTGTACTGTGCGCTTATTTGGGGTCACCTAACAGTGTGACTCAAGGCGGATTTTTTGTTTTGTTTTAAATGATCTTAGCTGTCAAGTAAGACCAGCTTGAAATGGATATCAGTTTAAAATCCTGGGAAGTAAAGGTGGCCGGTGTGGTGTTTACCACATCATCAACCTGATAAGTCTATAAAATGTGAGTCTGCAATGCCATCATATGACCTATGTGTTAGTGGCATGAAAATGATAATTTACTTTAATTTTTATGTACTTATAGTACAAAACTCCCCATTCTCGGAAGCTGCATGACATAATTGGAGCAGAAGCCGGTGGACCTGGAGGCCGAAGGGCAGGGGAGATCGGACATGGGGTGCCTGACTACCTTAAGTTCAAGGACCTCATCCTACGAATGCTGGAGTATGACCCGAAAACTCGCATCACACCCTACTACGCTCTCCAGCATAACTTCTTTAAAAAGACCTCAGACGAAAGTACCAACACAAGCAATAGTACCTCTACCAGCCCTGCCATGGAGACTAGTGCCGGTAGTCCAGCAGGTGAGACCAGAGTTAGATGCATTGCTGCACAGCAGAATATACTCACTCATTGTTACCATATATTATTTTTTTTGACCCTAAGTTAACTTAAAAACTTTACTCATGTGTATCTAGTGCTTTATAATATATTTACTGTGCACTTAGTAAGTTTGAAACTACTAATAGTGATCTTCATTTTATTGTTAGTAATGAATAAACTTATGTTTAGTAATTTTCATCTTATGTTCAGCGATTTTTATTTTGCACTTAACGATCTCCACCTTAATGCTTATCGATTTTTACCTTGTGCTTAGCAGTTTTCACATTATGCTTGGTTGTTCGTACCATGCGCTTAGCAGTTGTTTTCCCTTTGTGCCGAGTTATGTTAATTTAGTGCATACTCATTTTCACCCTGTTGAAGAAAGCTTGTCTGGACTGTCTCTATGTTGAGTAATTGAAAGTAAAGGACTTCTTTTTCCACGCCTTCAGGCGTATTGGGCGTATATGGCTATACCTGTATTTTATAGACCAATCAGCATCCGATGGATGATGTGGCCAATATCACGGCGGTCACCTTTATTTCCCAGGGCTATATCTTTTACCCACTCAAGGCTGGGTCGACCTAGGAGCCAAGGTCATTTTTGAAAAAAGTCCAGCACAATCAAGAACTGAACCTTTGAAATCACTACTACCTCTTTCTGCTCCTGGAAGTAATCAGTTGAACACTGCTGTCTCGTACTGAAGGAGATAGTATTCAGTAAAAAAAAAAAAAAAAGTATGTTTCTAAAAAGACCTTTCTTGTTTATGCCAGAATGAAGAAGGCATAATAAGCTAAGAGTCATAATTGTATAGACCAGGCAGCACTTGATGAGTGCTGCCTTTACTTCAATGACATTTCCTTAAACCATATTTAGCTAGGTCGACCTAGGAATCGAGGCCAGTATTGAAAACCAGTCTGACTTGTTGCAAATGTCAACCCTAGATCTAATTCAGTCAGGGAAGCGGGATGTTGCTTATATGAACTGTTTTTGGTAGCAAGATGAATTAGTGACAGTTTAGGCAAATATTGTGTGTTTCAAAGGCACATTGACATCACAGTGAGTGAGTGTACGGCACAGGTAGAATGATTTCTGTAGGCTATATTTTCTTCGCGGTTGATCCAGCCTTATAAAATAGGGTTCAGATCATTTTCAGGTCAGGTCAGTTTCAGAATTGTAAATAAAAAGAAACTATAAACTGAGTAAGAAAAGCGGAACTTAAAAATTGTACTAGGCAAAAACTGAGTTGAAAGCTTATTAAAAAAGGCATAGACATGCAGTGTTTTTCTGACATGTTATGAGAAGGAGTGGACTTGAGAACTTTGTGATGAACTGGTGATATTGATGTTTACCAAACAATGTTAGAACAAGGGGGAGGCAAAGAGATGGTTGGCTTTGAAATATGATTGTGATGAGACAAGAACATTGACTTGATAAAAGATTCTAGTCTCAGCAAATCTAGTATACACATGCATTAAATGCATAAGGCAGCTGCCAGAAGTGCTAACACAAACAGTCCGACACAAGTGGTCATAGTGAAGAAGATATAATTTATTAATGTTAAAATCGCTCAAAACATTGCATTCTAAAGTTAAAGGGCTTTTTGTAAATGATGTCATGGGCCCCTTAAATTTGTCGGGGGGGGGGGGGGGGGGGGGGGGGGGGGGGGGGGGGGGGGGGGGGGGTAGGGGATAATCAAATGAGAAAGTTAAAAAAGTCCCCTTGTCCATGCCTCCAGACATGTTGGTTATGTAGCACTAGACTTATATTTTACAGACCAATGGGCACTCAGTGGGTGATGTGATCACCATCACGCTAGCCACCTTTACTTCTCAGGACTTTACCTGCTACCCATTTAAGGGGCTGGGTCACCCCGAGAGCCGAGGTCATTTTTGAAAAAAGACCGACTTCTTTCAGATGTGAACCCGCGACCTTTAGATCTGCAGGCAAGCATCTAGCCTGCTACACCACAGTGGCTATCATCAAATGGGAGATCTGACCCACATCCCAAAGGCATTATATGCCACTGGACTGCCGATTTTTTCCTCTTATTTTTATTCATTATGTTGTGATGTCTGAAAAGATGTGACTTTTTCACCATTGAAAAAAAGTTACCTATTCACGGTTGAAAAGATATCAGTCAAGTGAGAAATAAGACTAGTCAGCTTCACATCATCATAGTCATGAACAATAAATGAGCGTTGTGGCTACAAAGCCTTCATCAGCATGATGCAAATGGACGTAAAGAAGAATAAACAAAAATCACTTATCTCTAAGTTGAAGTCTGTCACAGAAATATAAAAACACCTGTAGACACTAGAAACTCTGAGTCACTGTGATGCAGGAAGAGGATACTTCAAAGAAAAAAATAGTTGAATAGGCCACGGCAAGAGCCATAGCTTGAAAATTGTTAGATAAAGCTGTGTTAGACGTTAAGGCCTGTAGGTGAGAGATTGTCCATTGATGTCACGTTTTATCTGTCCCATAGCTTGAAAATTGTTAGATAAAGCTATGTTAGACGTTAAGGCCTGTAGGTGAGAGATTGTCCATTGATGTCACGTTTTACCTGTCCCCACCAGCTCCAGCTAGCACTGTGCAGGTTTCTGGAGCCAAGCTGGCGGCACCAAAATCCCATAATTCATTGTAGCTGGCATTCGTCTTTTTTTTTTTTAATCTGCACATTGGGTGTGTAGTTTTCATTTTGTTTATCTGTTAACGTTTTATTGGCACTTTGCGTTGACTGCATTGTTTGTAGTCAGATACTAAACAGGCTGTTCCACAGAATGCCATGTTAACTCGTTGGGCATCAAGGAACACATTGTGGGTTGATTTATAGCTAATTTAACTGCTGAGAGTTAAATTTTCCTGACAGCATGGCTCTCTTTATTGCCTGCATGTACCGCTTTTTTGGGCAGTGCAGCATGGGGGGTGATGGTGGGGGGAGGAGGTGTCTTGAGCCTGAGGATTTAGGGTCACGTTGCTAGTGCAGTCACAGTGGGATGTACAGGTTAGGAGTATATTTTCACCCTCAGTAGAAAAAAAAAAAAAACTCCCATCACCTCACTGAGGTTTTGAACCTGGGTCTTTTGAGTGAGAGCACAGAATGCTCAACCACTTGGCCAGCCAACTGTGAGTTTACAAAAATGAAAGTAATGGTGGGGAACTTGAATTAACAGGACCAAAAAAAAATTGAAAATAAAAGCGTTGCTTGTATAAATGAGACTTTAGCAACGAGGCACCAGGAACAACAGTTCCCATTATGAGCGAAGATCTAAGCACTGAAATAGCTACCAGGCAGCCAGTTACTTAAGGCAAAAACCAGAAAGCAGCATCCAATGGAGTAATCTGCGAGGCCGATCTTCAAGCGATGCTTGAAGACTTCAACAAACAAGTGTACCCGCACCAGCTAGAGATGGACGACGAAGGCAGCCGCTATTGTATCAGCTACAAATGGGAAAAGCTCGAGAAGAAAGACCGAACACCCAAAGACATAGAAAAAGAGCGAAAAACTTAACAGATTCTACGATGAACTAAACGCAGCCCTGAATCAACTTCGCGCGCAAAAGAAAAAACAATGGAAACATGGCACGCCCAATAGAAGAGGTTATCGCCAGTTCTAAAGCCACAAAAGAGAACCCGCCAAACAAGCCGCCATCTTCACGGACAGCCCAACAACGATCGCCAGCCCTGATAGACAGCCACGATGTGACTCCGCCCATCCCCGTTCCAGGCCGCCCCAGGAAAATGGCAGCCCTTTTTAGGGCTGCCCGGCTGCCCCACCCCCTCCCAAAAAGCCGGACTATACCAGCCAAGCCTGATCGAGCAGACATGACGCAACAGCAAACACCTGAACCTCGGCGAGAAATGATCGCCACAACGAATCGAACTAAATCAGATAGCAAAGAAACCGACCTCAATAAAGCCGGCCTTATGGCAGCTGAATGAGGACCAAATTTGACATTTTTGTTTGGTTTCTTCGATTACAATGAGACTTTAAAAAAATACAGGTTGCTTTTTGGACTAGCAGCATTGGATAAGTAAATGCAGCGATGGTTTCAGTAAATTAGCCTAACTTAAAGTAAAAAACATATTTTTCATTAATCAAAAGAGCTTTTAGATTAAAACAATTGTATTTTGAATTAATTAAAAGGGCTTGTAGATTGAAAACAGGGATGCTTTGAATTAATTAAAATGGATTATAGGTTAAAGAAGAAATGATTGCAGATAATGGAAGAGATCAGCATCTGATAAGAAACAGGGTAAAAACTTGAGTTGGCAACAATGATCCTGAAGTCCCATGCTCTAATTGTGGAAGACCTTTGTTAAAGTGAAGGGATCTTGCTAGTCACACTGGCCATCACTTTAGGCTGTGATTGGCATGTGTCCCTATAGCACAGCACAAATGTACCACCTGGCAAGAAAGAAATCTGCCAACCAAAACAGATTGAAAACGGTGTTGTTTTGCTTTGCATTAAAGATAAGGGGCTTATAGATGATGGCTGTTTTAATGCTTTTCCATCTATAGCAGTAAAATGTACTGTTAGATTTAACATTGCAGCATGTGGAACTGTTAGTATTCTCTTGAGTTTTTGATTTGTTCTGTTAACCCAGGCTCATTTTTATGGCAATCATTTGTTTTAACATTTATTTGGTTGGGATAATAGACAGTTACTGAGCTGTAAAGGACATTCGAAAAGTTGTGCCCCACATTAATTATTATTTTTGATCAGCATTCACTGAAAATATAACTTATTGTGACTTTTACACACCATATTTTGGGGCCATGTTAGTGCAGTCGATAGGAGACTCGCTTTCAAATCCAGCTGGCAGTGTTTGAAACCGGACGGTCCCCAGGGTTCACCCAGCCTCTAGGTAATGGATACCAGAGTTAACACTCTGGGGTAAATGGAGGAACGTCGCTGTAGCTACTTAGTTTCGTGCAGATGGCGACACAGGCGGACAGTTTTTTTTTAATCAGCTGTC